GATGGTTACAAAAAATAGATACCATTTTGCTTGTGATGGGAGTTAGAACTGCAGATCCACCAAAAACAGTTCAGTTTTACTAAACACTAGGAACGGGATATTAAATACTTGTATGTGTTTGGTTCTATCAGTAAGTACACACATATAAGAAACTAAGATATGGGCTTTTTGAATGAAACATAGGGCAGTAGTGAGTTCATCCTGTGTTGGAAATCCTGGCCTAAAAAAAATGGGTTTAGCTGCTGTTAAGACCTGGTTTTGTCAACAAAGTTACTTGGAGCACATTAGCACTTTTCAGAAGATGCTTACTGTTTAAAGGTCAACAACTAACTGGTTGATAGGGCTACACCAATTGCCATGGGAAGAATTTATTCCATTATTTCAGAGAAGCTAAAAAAGTGAAGTGGCTTTGTAGCAGGATGAGAGAACCAAAGTGTAAATTTCAAGTAAAAACAGAGATTATAGTGTATACAGGTGCAACATGGGATAGACCTTGCATCACCTTTTGATAGAATTTCTGAGGATGGCTGGATAAGGTTCAGAACAAGAAGAACAAAACCATCATTTGTTTTTTGCTTTAATGTAGTCCTAAGGAAACAGAGACTTGAATGTTTGTTGTTCAACAATCACAGTTAATGGCTCCCAGCCACATGGTTTCAGAAACAGCAGCCACCAAAGATAAAGTCTTTCTCTTAGTGAAGAAAGAAGAAATGTTGGCTGTTGACATAGTGCAGGCTAGAGCAGACTTTTTGTCCCTTCACTTTAAGAGGAAAAGTAACATAAAAGAGCAATTAAAAAAAAGACCAAACAAAAAAAACCAAACCAAAAGCAAACAAATCACAGAAGTTGCTTTATATTCCATATGATTCCAAACTGGACATAAAATTTGTGCTTACAGTAAGCTGATAAAATATTCCTGGACTCTGTAGATAATTAATAATAGAGGCAGGAAGGAATGTCATTGGTTTATCAGGATCACCAGACTGAAGAAATATGTTTTCATCCTCTTCTTTTGTTTTCATACCTGATATTCAGCTTCTCAGCATGATTTATGATGCCAAGAATCCTGGTTGTTCTGTCTTAGGTAAGGGACACCTTCTCCTTTATGCTCCAGTTCAAGTCACTCACTGCAACTTTGCTACCATCACAAGAACAGTTTTGGCACGTAGCTGCGTTAATAGTTGAATTTGTTACAACAGGAAAGAACAAAAAGTTGCTGGAAATGTGGAGTCTGTGTGCAGGAGGTCAGAAAATGAACCTCATGTCACTTCTTCATTTGGAGCTAATTCTTCTTGAGTTCTCTGAACCTGATCTTGAGTCTGCAAATCAACTAACAGCTTTGAGTGCTTTAACAGAGCATTGGCAGAACAGGATGAGTTTGGGGGATATACACATTCTCAGCACACCAAATTCTGCAGCCTTTTGTGTTACTATAAAGTTGAGTGACTTGAATGAAGGTAGCAAAGTTTGTCTAGATTTATATCCATGAAACAGTGAGATTTGGTACAGCCTGTAGATTATTTAGCTTCCTTTTACTGGAATTCTTGCGCCTCAGTTAATTGCAACATTGCTTAAGAGTTACAAGGCTCTGTGAGAACTCTGTACTTTCCCCTTTGGACTAAGATACATTGCTATGAATTATGCAGGGACAAATGTCTGTCACTCCACCTACATAGGACATTTTCTGGATATATGTAGATTAGCCTGTCAAATTACTTAGATTCCTCTTAAGATGTGATGGCTTACTTCATCTACTGCAGCCCATGAATATGAAATGAAAGGGTCAAGCTGTGTTAGCTTTGACTTTTTCTTTCCTGACTTCTTTGACTTTGAGGTATACATTCAGTGCCTCTCAGTATATTATCTGAAGATTGTCTGTGGGAGATATTCTCTTTACCTCTTTCTTCCCATATTGGATTAAGCTAACAATAACAAATACCTCTTACAGTCACACAGCATTTTTCAGAGCAGCACAAAACGCTTTATGGACCTCACATCACTTCGTCAGCCCTGGCTATGTAGCTCCCTCATAGCTATCGTAGCTATTCTTACTTTTATGTAAAAGAGAATGGCAGAAATATCTGTTCAGTTGGGAAATGCTGATATTTTTAAATGGCAGTGGCTGTAAACTGCTTTTCTAAACAACCTATTAAATATCGTTAAGAAAGAAGTGAAATTCTGTGGTGTGCTTGAGGATTGAAGGATTTAAGCAGAGTGCAACCTACAACACTAAATTTTGGGAACAAAATATTCATCTAATCAGAGCCAATCTTATATCAGTAGCCGAGTTCTTAAAAAATAGCTGAATAGAGATATTCAAATAATTTTGCAGTGTCATGTTTCCCTTTGCTGTAAATGTATTTTGCAGTAGTCTGTGAGCATGGAAGTAAAACTTATTGCTTGCCAATAACTATACACTAGCTCTCTAATATTGGAGAATATTTGATACAATTACCCATGGTTAATAGTATTTTTCTCATCAAACAGTATTGCTGAAATCAATGTATTACTCAACATAAACAAACACATCACAATCACCCCGTATGTCTGTCAAATAGAAATGTGGTTAACAGTAATAAATTTGTGTTTAACCATGTTTCTGTGTTCTAGACTGGATGGATACATTGCTTACATGTAATGCAATCACACAGCAGTCTTGTGCACATGCATATACTTAGCATGATTTTGAAGAAGGGAAGAGTTTCTCATTTGACAGTATAAGGAGACTGTGTTGATTCGTGGTATCATAAAATGAAAGACTGTTATAGGCTATGACACCTCCTCTCTCTGCTTTTCTGACGTCTCACAACTGATATCTTCCCTTTCTTAGCTGAAGTTGCTCCTGAGTTAAATAGAGCTAAAAATCCTCACTGCCTTTTGCTCCTGTGGGTATTTCTATTGGTGTAGAGTGAGTATAAAATGGCGTGAAAATCCAGATCTCACCAAAGCTGGAAAATTAAGACCAGATTTTCTCAAGGAGAAAGGAAAGTGAATCCTGGTTCTCAAGAGTTAAACTGATGCTCATCAAACTACCACCAATAATTACTGTGTAACAAGTGACCATTAAATTGAAATTAAGCCTAATATAGATTCTTGGTACACGCTTTTTTCCTCAGTAGATGAGCTTCACCTCTGTTGAATGCAGCATTAATCTGTGCTTCGCAGTAAAACAAATGAATTAATAAACTATGTTTTAATCTGTTTAATTTTAAAATAATTTATGATTTGGTTTCTCTGTACTTCATCTGCAGTAATCTTTCCTCAAGGAAAAAAATTACAGATTAAGTTTTTCTATGATTTCTTTTTTTTTTTTTTTTTACAGGGACCTTTCCATGTAATAATCTATTACCTGTCAAGTAACAAATGTCCAGCAATCAGTCAAGATATTGTTTGAAATAAAGACATAAACAATATTATTGATTCAGTTATATATCCAAAGTGATTTAGTGGATTACCTGTTGTGTGCACACTTTGGCTGCAATGCAGTATAGTCTATAGGTACATATTTCATAAACTTGTGACTATTTTAATTAATTTCACATAGAACTGAAGAGAAACCAGAGTTTTCACTTTACAGAAAAGTCTGCTACTTTGAAATGTATGAGCCCAATGGAAAATAAGCAATATATACATTTCTCTAAAAGGAAAGTCATAGTAGAAAGATGATTTTAAATCAATTGAGATACTTTTCTTCTAACAGCTTAAACATTTTTGAAAGAGCTAAAAAATGAAAGTGGCTTCATTTCAGGGAAACAGAACCGAATGTAACTTATAAATAAATTTGAAAACTATGCAGAGGTAAAATAGTGGTGGTATGTGCATCATCTTTTCTAGTACCAATAAGAATTTTTATATGAATAATCATAGTGCTCCAATCCGTAAAGAAATGTATTTTCCGTATCAAAATGTTTTTCTAATAGTATGCCTGCAAGATTGAAGTGATTTTTACAATAGGTGTGCTGTGAAATTTGTTGTATTCCCAGGTTTGGTTTTGATGAGATGGCATTTGCTAGCAGATAAATGATGCATCAGAACAAACAAGGTTAGTTTCCATTATATATATTCAGCTTGGTTCTGATCTGCCTTATATTGGGCCTTCAGTGTAAGCAGAAGTGACCCAGAAACCCTTAAACCTTCACAGTTTGTTTTCCAGAGAATTTTTGAGTATTTACAACGTCTTAGTTTTTTATCCTGTGCATCTCTCTATTGCAGTCATACAGTGATCAACATCTGCACCTCCTGTATATTCACGTACCTTCACATAACTGTGAATTTTACTGTACCAATGTAGAAAACTCAGACTTATACTGACTGCAGGTTATTTATACAGTGTTGTACAAAATCTCTCAAACGAAATGAATAGTATGCTAGTCTCTACGTGACAAATAATTGAGGCACGGACATTTTGATACATGATTCAAAGCTAATGGTCAAGCAGCTGAAGATGAGAAGGGCACGTTCTCTGAGGAGCCCATGATCTTTCTAAGGCCTATACAAGGGAGAAACAACCTGGTATATCTAAGATCTGCTTAGATTTAGAAGTCAAGTTCCTTATGGAAGTAGGATTGTTACTAGAAGTAGATTAATTTTGCCAGATGTGAGAGATAGGTGTTAGGTGACTGGTGTAAATTAACTTATGAAGAAACAATTCTGAATGGGAGTTTTATTTCATTTATCATGCATAGCCATCTTAAGATGAGTCATTCACTGACATGCTCCTCTGTTTCTACACACACTACAGGGAAGCTAAGCTTTGATTTAAAAGCTAAACTTAGGTGGACAAAGCCAGTAGAGATAAAATCCACGTATAGGAATTTAAGGCTTTTTGCTGTTTCTGCCCAGAAGCTTATTCTTCAGGTTTTAGGAAGTAAGCAGATAGCAGGAAGAACAGAGCCAGAAAGAACACTCTTCTAGTCACAATTCCTGGTTACCTTGTTGAGTTAGCCTCCTTCTACATGCCGGAAAGCAATCAAATGAAAGCTCAAAATGCTTTACCATACCTGATTGTGGACTTTGTTTGGGAATTTTGGCTGCTGCTTCAGGGCTGGAGGTGGCACGCACACGCTGATTGGCAGAGTTATGGATGCTACTTGGAACAGCTGCTGAGATGTTTTTGCGAGGTTTCATGTCTTGCAACCACATTGGAGATGCCTCAAAGGCTTGCATTCGCCGAGAGTGGCTGTTAGCATTGACTTTGAGAAACGCCTGGGCCTTGTATTCCTGAAGGTCTCCATAGTTGGCATCGGTCACCCTGCACTCATACAAGCCTTCATCCTTTTTCCTCACTTTTGAAATCTGAAGCTTGTGGGAGATGTCATTCCCTTGTACTTTCACTGTCTGCAAATTTGCCAGGAGAACAAACAAACAAACATGTTGTCAGGTGTTGTTCTCTGGAAAGACTCTACCAATGTAGTGCCAAATTAATCAGTGGTGTGATTGTGCTTACTGCAGGGAAGTTGCATCAGGGATGAGCATGATTATTTGTATCTAGGAGGAGGTGTGATGTCTTTGTTTCTAAAACTGTTCAGATGATTTGCTCTGAAAGGCTAATTGGCATCAGACAAACAACCCAAACTACCATGTTCATTCCAATTAATTACTTAAGCTCATGAAGACTCTTCATTAGCTTTCTTACATAAATGTAATATCTGTGCACTTCATCAGTTAAACCTTTCAATTAGTTCACTTTATTGAATAATTCAGCTTTTGGACTTGTGCATTAACAGTTTTGCTGGAAATGTTGGCCAATATTTAAACTTCTTTAATAACAATTTCTTGGATTAGCTTGTAGTCTCCACTACAATGAAACTGATCTTTGACATTCAGTTTGTCTCATTCAGGCGTGTACCTATGGCATTTTTTGTTTATTAACTATAACAAGACATCTTGTGCCAGGTAGTTCCTTTTGTCTCATCTATAGAGGTGCATGTTTATTAGAAGTCACATATTTCTGCAGCACATATTCAAGTAGCACATATTCAAGATCATTTTAAAAGTTGTCAGCTAAAATAACTCCTGATTTATTTTTAATTGCTTTTAATATTTGAGGGTAACATAACTTATTTTTGTCTGATATAATTAAAATACACATGAGTAAATTATGCATCCAGAAATTCATGATAGCTATTAAGACGCATTAGGGAAGGTAACACATACTCCTTTCTGTATGTTCATCACTTCAGAGAATTTATATTTAATTAATTGTTTATTACTCTCTATATGGATGAATATCTCTTGCCCCACAGGAAGCCAGTTAAAAGGGATTTACTGGGACAGAAAACTTCAGCTTTGAAGAGCTCCTGAACCCAGTTTACATCCACCATTACATGTTTATGGATGTAAATGTGGCTTTGTGTTTTATCACTGACAGGCAATGAGGAAACATCAGAGTGATGCATATATGGTAGACCATGAAAATGGAGAACTGTTCAATTGAAACTAGGCAAGTGTTATTGGTGATTATACAACATATTGCTTCTGCTAGCTTGGTATGCTGCAGTCACCAGTGCTGGCAAAGCACCTATTCTGCCTGCTTGATAAACTGAAGAGTAATAATTGTGAATATATTATTGCTTTAAGGTACTGGATGGACTTTACAGCCTGCTGTGTTTTATCCAGCTCGAAATTTATACTTGACAAACTGAGTTGGAAGTATGGATTGCATACTTTCAGGCATAACATATGCAATAATAATTACATGGAACGTGCTGGATAGTTATTTAAACCATATTCAATAATAATATATCTCTACTGAACTGTTCATATTCTGCAAAAGGATTAAAGAAAGTTCATATGAATGGAAGGAGGATCTTTAGGTCATATCCTACGCTAATTTGCTCCACTGCAATATCTGCTAAGTTAACCGTGTTGCGTAACACTAATGAAAAACAGAATTTGTTTTAGGAATTTAGAAATTTGCGGTCAGCATGTATGCATGTTTTCAATTTATTCCTAATTATCACTTAAAACCAGTAGAAGCAGTGTATTTCAGCACAGCTTAAAACCTCATTTAGTATATTTTACCATTTCTGTAAAGAATTTATGAAATGCACTTAAATTTTGCTCCCCTCTTCATGAAGATACTTCCCAGTAGTACTAATGGAGACTCTGTGTTTGCCTTCAAGGAGAAAAAAAAGGAAGGCTACATTTGTAACAAGTGTAGATTGTCAACCTAATGTTCACTTTTTTTAATTGTAAAAATAAAATGTTAGCTTATAAAAACACTGGCTAAATACCCCCTCATGAATTACTACTATACATAATGAGAGAGATTTTTCAGTTGAAGGATGGGACAAGCTTTACAACTTGTACTGAGTCACAGACCTCATGGATTGCTATTGTAATTTTGAATGGCCAGTATTGATAAGGAATTAATTGGCTTACAGTACTACATCTAGTGGAATAGTATCCAAAGACCACATGTGGGCCTCATTTGTAACATAGTCTACTAACGGAACTGAAGATACAGTTGACAACACAAATAGTTTCTAGTGTATGGTGAAAAGTATCATAGGAAATCTAAGTATGGCTAGATTATGTATCATTTTGAATATCATGTACTCAAATTCTCTCTTATAAATGCCCTTCAGCTACACCTAGCTGCACTTCGAGCCAATGTAATTACTTGGTTAATTATTTGCTGGCGTCAAAAAACAGCAAAGGATTTAACATAAATTTTTCACCTCTGTCACTTGTTTAAGCTTTGCAGGTACTTCTTTGGCTGTAGCTAAAAGACACTTCTGAAGGGATTGTGTCTGAGAAAGAGAAAACCCCTGTGGGTTGATAAAGGAATACCCATGCTACATTATCTCCCAATTATCTGTGTCTTTCCACTGCAGTAAGCACCACACCAAGACCTCACCACCATACATTAGTTAGGATGCAGAGGGAAGAGGGTCTGAACTCTGCTGAGGTCAGGGGCTGGCTATGGCTGTACCTGGCACACAGTACAGGTCTGCTGAGTAAGGCATCCTTCCCCTGGACGAGGGTTGGAGCAATGTTGCTCCTAATTTTGTTGAGACAGCTTTCTAACTTAATTTTGAAACATCATATTGGTAACTATGCTGTCAGAACCCCACTTCCCTAAGAAACACTTTCAGTGGCCAAAAGTGGAGACCTCCCAGTGGGGAGGTCTTGTCCAAAGACTTTATGAGCTTTTTTCTGCCAGCCGATATGAACCTGGGAAAGCACCCGTTTAAACACTTGGAAACTCCACTGAAGGGAAGCACAGCTTCACGACCAAATTCCAGCCTTAAACCCAGCTTTGGCACGATACGACGGGCTCAGCAGTCACCAAGGGTAAATGGAAACAGGAAGTATAAGGACGGGTGCAGACTGGCTGCTTCCTGGGATGGAAGCAAGAGCCTTCCGAAGGTCTGCCAGGACCTCGCTTCATCTCAAGGAGGGGAAGGCTTCTTGGGGCAGGATTGGTACCCTCTGCCGGGGCCGGAGTGGAAGGAGCTGAGGAACGAGTCACCCTCAGGCTTCAGCATCCGGCGAGTGTGGGGAGGGGATGCCCGGGGGGAGGGAGGACGGGACCACCCTCGCCGTACCCAGCCGTGCCTGCTCCGGGGTGGCCGCCGGCAGCGCCTGGGATGGGATGCGCCTCCGGCAGGGCCGGCCCGGCGGACGGGGGTGCCCGCGCCTTGCGCCGCCACTTACGCTGATCTTGGTGCCGTCGCTGTCCAGGTCCCGCTCGGGCAGGAGCTCCACCTGTAGGGAGAGCAGCGCGCCGTCGGTAGCCAGCCCCCTGCTGGGGACCACGCCGACCCGCACCCCCCGCCCCGCCAAGGAGCACTGCGAGCGATGGGCGCGCCGCGTGTGCCCCCTGCGGGCCGCGCTGGGAGGGGGGGCGGGCAGCTGGGCACCCCAGGGAGCACGGCAAGCGGGGCACAGCCCTACGGACGGACCCGCCTCACACCCGGCTTCATTGGGGCTGCTGAGCTCCGAGACCCTGGCAGAAGGGGAAGGGAGGAACTGCCCTGGGTGGCGGTGTAAGCGCACATGGCCCCCTTTGGCCACTCGGAAGGCTGAAATTGTGCTGTTGTATGGGTTTTATCTTCTTCTTTGGGGCATTGTTTCCCCCCCTCCGCTCCCAAATGTGTGCCTTCCTGTGGCAGCTGCACGCAGAGTTAGGGCTGCCAACTTGGCTGCACCAGCTGTAAATTGGAGGGCACGTGTAGGATCTTGCCATTTGGGAGATGAAAAAAAATCCCACTAGGAGCAGTCTCTGAACAGCTGCTTTCCGAAGGGAAAATGAAACAGAGAAAAAAAAAAATTAGACTTTGGAAATCCATGAGGTTTTGTGAACATCCCTAAGCTGCATCCCGAGAGTGACAGGCACCAAAGGCACTGTCCCTTGAGGTGGGTATTTTTCTCTGCAGGTTTTTGTGCTGCTAGTTCATGGTCAAAATTAAGTCCCTGGGGAGATCCAGAACCTCCCACTGCTTCCTCCTTCTCTCCCCCCTTCTCTCCTTCCATCTCCACCCTTTCTCCCATGGCATTCATTCCCTGGGTGGTTTGGGAATCCCACAGCAGAAGATCAGTACCTGAGTGCCTGTCACCTCAGCTCCAGCCTCTTGGTCCTCAGCCGCCCTCAGAAACCACCACTGAATTTCAAGGTACACTGAAGCGGAGCCACTTTGGAAAGCACAAGACATCTCCACATTCTGCCCTTCAGTGGCAGTGACATTTCGGGGAAACTCAGTGAATTTTGCTGCAAAACAAATGCATGACATGTTGGGATCTCCTCACGCCACTCATTGTTTATTCTCTGATTTTTGTGTTGCTTTTTTCTCCTTTCTCTGTTTTTTTTTTTTTTTTTAATTTCAAATTAATTTATCTCTTTTCTCATTGCCCCTCTTTTCTGATTTTCCAGTTTCTCCACACATTGTTCATTCTTCCCCCGCCCCCCCCCCCCCCCCCCCCCCAGTTTCTCTCATAAACAGCTTGTGCCCTTATGCACAAATCTGCCTTCTTTACAGTCTAAGCTCTGCTTGTGGGAAATGCTGTAGACCGCCCTGGTTGCTCCCATAGGCTAGTAAAGTTTCATGTAATTAGGTCCAAATACCCTTGGGCAGAATGCAGTATTTCACTGGACTCACTGAGGGATTTTGTGCAAGACCAATCTGGGAGAGGAAAAAGGAGATCAGACTGATTTATTGTATTTCATAGGGCTGAGCTGGAGACGTGCAAATTGTTAAACCTTCCACAGCTGGCTGGCATAGCTTATGGAACGGGCACTCTTCTGAGGCACAGGTCACAACCACTCATCAAAATGCCGATTTCAAAGGCTTTACATGAGTTAGTTACTCTTTCTGAGAACCTCTGCCTACATAATCAGACCAAGGAGCAATACATCTTGTGTTTCTCAGCCCTGGTAGACACTTCCTAGAGCTAACCTTCACCTTTGTATCCCAGTTCTTTGACAAACAGGATCTACCCATTTCAGTGTAGCACTGCTAGGTTTAAACACTAATCCTGAGGGACACAGTTCAGGGCACCAGTATCATCCTTTCTTATAACTCACTTTAAAGATGTGCAGCATAACGAAACATGATAGTCAAGTGAGGGGGGCTACAGACAAACAACACAATAAATAAAACCTGTGTTTCAAAAAGGGAAAAATTTGGAAAGACCTTGCAATGTTGCTTTCTGTTATACATCATTACAGACTGACTAGAATGTATTATGATGGGAAGGAAATATTGCTCATTGTCTCCTCCCCTCTTTCTTGCTCTTTATCTAGTCTTCCTAGCTAACCTGGAACTGGTGGGATAATTTAGTAGCCTGTGTTACTTCTTTCTCCTTTTAGATTTGTGCTTGGCAACAGATATTTAGCAAAGCTACTAGCTTTGTGGTTTACGGTGCCCCTTTTTCTGCCCACCTCCCTCACCCTTCTTCCTCCGCCGCCGCCCACCCAGCCAGCGGTTGCTAGTCACCGGGTTAAACTGAGAACTCTGCATTTTGTGTATTCGGGGCTTGTAAGTTTGGTTGGTTGGGGTTGTTTTCGCTAGTTTGTCCGTTCCCTATCCTCCTGGCCAGTGCGTGCGAGCGGTGTGGGGTCGCGGAGGGGGATGCTGCCGGCATCCTCCCGCGATCGCACCGCCGCGCGCAGCAGCGGGAGCTGCCGGCAGGGAACGGCGGGAGCAGGGGTCTCCCCCGCGCGATCTGTCCATGGTGCTAACAGCGTCGCAACAGCCTCCTGATCCCAAACAACAGGCTCCTGCAGCGCTGGCGCTGCTTGAAATGCAAAGGCGCGCCTTTAGGCGGGGAGGGAGGAAGCAAGGAGACGGGGGGGGGGGGGGGAGGGCTTTAAAGAAGTAGATTTTGTCTTTTTCTCCCCTTTTTTCTATTACCCCCCCTTTTTTTTGGGGGGGGGGAATACAGATAGTCACAGACTCGAAATGAAGGTCTAAGTATTGCAGGAACATAGGAGAGGAAAGGGGAGGCAGCACTAAAGGAGGATCAATGTTTTGAGAGAGGCAGTAGATTTACCCACCTGATACTTGGTCTGAATGCAATAATTATGCACGCACGGGTAGGTGTTTATTGTATGCATACATGCACATACACAGACATACACTACCCAAACACATGTATGTCCATTCACCAACAGTCCTTTACTCTTCTGAGAGGTGTCTCTTATTTCCCCTTTTGCAACCAAGTAACGGAAGCCTGTTTTATTCCCACTTTGGGAAAACTTCTCACTTCTGTTCCTATTTAAAGACAATTTTTAACCTAAGTGTAAGCCTGATGCCTGGTGTCTTCATCTCCTACCCACTGTGTGCTTTTTTCCTTTTAGTCTCCTTTTCCTCTTATCCTCCTCCCCCTAATCCTGTTCTCAGTCTGTTTTAGCATTGAAAAACATACACACGGATTTGACAATAAGTGATCTTACCTTGGGTAGAAAGTCCTTGTTGAATATACATAACTGAAAAGAAAATGAATCCAACATAAGCTAGAAAGATCCCCATCATTCCAAGACGAAGAAGAAGTCACATCAGGGTAATAAAAGCCAAAGGTGCCCTCAAAAAAGGAAGAATTGATATATGAGTGTGTGTATGTATCTCTAAATACGTGAACAGAGAGATGTTACAAAAAAGCTCTGTATTGTAGCCCTAGCTGCAACACTGGCAGCATTCTGCTACTCAGTGGAGTCTTTTTCTTTGGGAAGAGGGAGTATTGCAATATAGTGTGGTTCAGATGAGCCGTCTCAGGCGCTGTGTTGCTTGAAGTCCAGATTCAGACTAAAAAAAAAAAAAAAAAAACACACAAAAAAACCCAAACCGTTGAAAAGTGGGTATCAGCTGCCTTCTGTGCCTTTTTTCAGCTACCTGGCAGCTTCGGCCAACGTCAGCTCTTGCTGCTCAGGATGGCGTGATGACTGCCCTCCCTACACACTGATACAGCTCGAGAAGAGGGGAGTGGGGGAGAGAAGGGGGGAGGGGGGAAGAGAGAGAACTCTACTGTGCTTGTACTGCTTCAACTTTTCCCTCTAATGGCTGCGATAATGCCTTTAACCCTTCCCTCTCTCTCTGTTCCCTACACTTCTCTACCTGCTCTGACTTCTACTGGCTCCGATGCTGGGGTAAACCTGAGCTTTTTTTTTTTTTTTTCCTTTCTTTTTTGCATAGTCCACAGCTTGTGATTGTAGAGAGAGCAGGGAGTCTTTCTTGCACTCATGCAATCTTCGGTCTTATGTTCGAAAACGTTCAGTGGCTAGGAGGGCAATGCAGTGGTTTGATTTTTTTTGTGAGTTAAGCTGTTCCTGTTTTCTGCTTTTTCTCTCCCTCTTACAGGGTCTAAGAGAGGAAAATAGTTACTCAGTAATCCTACTGCGCTCACTATTGCCTGCCCCAAATAACTGCTTCCAGCATCTTACATTAAAATGTTGATAATTTTGTCTGCAAAGGCAAGTACAGGAGATTATACTTAGAATATGCTTAAGATACATGCATTTATATAGATTCCTATGGAAAAATATCTAGCTAGATAAAAATGGATGTCGATATCCTACAGATTGCTCACAGTAATATATATATATTTATGTACACCAGAGAAGGTATTTACAGCATATTAAAGATTGTTTCCTCCTGCAGTGAATGTTTCCTTCTCTCTTCCTTGTTTTCTTCCTACATATGTATTAATAATGCTTAGACAAGAGGCTAACCTTGACTGTATTAAGTGTTCAAAACACCCTGAAAAAACATCTGCACTGAGGGAAGTTCTCTGACTAAAATCATCGTGCTGCTTGTAGTAAGAAGCCATCTAGAAAGTGCTTGTTGCACTAACCAAGCACCAAATACCCTCACAAAGCTGAGACAAAGGCTAAATAGAATCTGAAAGGAGCACCTGATAATCACTTAGACTGCCAAATAGCTGAATTTAACTGCTAATCACAGACTAAAAAAACATTTAAGACATACCAAATTAAAGAGAATTTTATCTTCATGGGCAATATGTTTTTCAGTTAGATGAATAGCTGGACAGGTTCTTTCCTTCTTCGCAACAGGAGAGCAGCAGTTCCACAATGGCACGAGATTCAACTTTTACCTTACTTGCTGCACCATCCAAATTACTACATGCATACAAGATATTTGATATATCTGCAGAGATCTTTTTCTCAGAACTAATGCCATCTGACTGGAGAACAATGCTTTTGTGTACATTTTAGCATTTATTTGTTTTATAACTGCATGAGTTCTCATGTTTCTTTATGAAAATAAGGGAGACATTTTTCCATGGTAATGATCTATTCCATTGATGTCATACCTTAAGCATAGCAATAATTCTGTGTGAAAAATGAGTGCAATAAATAAAATATAATTTATATTATTAAAATGATTCCCCAAATAGCAAAAAAAAAATGCCTGCCTGAAAGATTTTCTATTACTACAGAGTTTTAATTACTTTAAAGGTGGTCATGATGGATATATTCAAAACCAAAGGAAACCTGTGAAACAGAAGTGCAAGTCTTTAAATTATCTGAAGTAACCGAAGACTGTGAGTGATTCAGTGATTAGATACACCCTGTGGGGGTCTTTACAGGTTCAGATGGTGAATGTTTCAATAATTTCTATAAAAGAAATTAGATCCTTTTCAGATGGGCAGCCAAAATCCTAAGTCACTCCTGAAAATGAAGGCTGATTATAGGATTCACTTCAAACCCATGTACGTCATCAGTAATCAGCTGAAATTACAAATTAGAGACTTATTATCAGCAGCCAAGTTAAATGTAAATTAGATAGGAGGAAAAAGGATCTAAGCAGCATCACCTGGTTCAGAAGAAAAGCAGGAAACAAAAATAGATCACTTTTTATCTTTTTTGCCTATTCCAATTAAAAACACTTGATAGGTAAGTTAATTTTATCAATTTAGAATTTAGAAACAAGAATAATTCTCCCAAATACCTTGTAGTTAATGTAACTATTGAAATCTTAAATTATTATCACAAGGAGGCACAAAATATATGTGGTTATTAAAATATGAGAACAGAGGATGTATTGGGATATTGATTTAATAGAAAGAATCTTAAAACTTGGTTTCATGTTTATTGTTTTAACTTTATTCATGTGCTGCATCAAGCCACATGATTCTGTTAAATACTGCAAACAGAAAACAGATAATCCACCTCCTGCTACCAATGTTAGATTTCATCCTGATGGATGTGGCTTCTCCACAATCAACCATGCTGTATGAATGGGGTCAGTAAATGTGTCTAGTTACCTTGTGTGAAATCTCTGCCTTTTGTGCTGTAGATAGAATTTTTGTGTAGCCTAACTTGAAAAGTATCAGTTGTGCTTTACAGCATGAATTTTATGGTTTATGTGAGGTTTTTACTGCCTCTTTTCTCCCTTTCAGCAGTTCTAAAAGATGAGTCATCACTGGATACTCTCCTAGGTCATACCCAGAACATTCATGGAGAGGAGAATGTATTTTCAAACATGCCAGAGAAATATCATAATGGAAGACCCGTTTATGCTATCTTGAAGCTGAACTGTGCAGTTCATCCTATGTCTTATTACTACTTCAGTACATATTCCAGATCAAGTGCTCTTTCAAAGCCATAACCAGCTGTGCATGTTCATTACTCTGCCCAGTTTACAGATCACAGATCTATGCATATGTTTTAATTATTACTGTATAAAGTGATTCTGGAGGTGATGAGTCCAAGCTCAGTAAAGGTTAGAAATGAAAACTCTTATGCTGTCAGTCAGCAATATGTTGGAGTACTTTGGACCTATGGAGACATGCACTAGTATGGGCTACCTTGCCCTGAAGAAAGCTAGTCAGCTGATGACTAGCTTGGGGTTGTTCAGTCTGGAGAAGAGAAGGCTCAAGGGGAATCTTACCACTCTCTACAACCACCTGAAAGGAGGTTGTAGGGAGGAGAGTGTCGGTCTCCTCTCCAAAGTAAGAAGCGATAGGACAAGAGGTAACAGCCTTCAATCTGCACCAGAGCAGGTTTAGATTGGATATTGGGAGCAATTCCTTCACAGAGAGGGTGATCAGGTATTGGAACAGGCTGCCCAGGGAAGTGGCGGAATCACCATCCCTGGAAGTGTTCGGAAACTGTGCAGATGAGGCCCTTAGTGACATGGTTTAGTGGTTGTCTTGGCAGTTCTTGGGTAATAGTTGGAGTTGATGTTCTTAAAGGTCTTTTCCAACTTAGTTTATTCTATGATCCTATGACTTACCTCTCTGAATAAGACCACGGCTGACTGTTGTTACCCAACAAGCTCAGCTAAAAATGAAAAAACAAAAAAAATGTTATGTTTTATTTTTTTATATTTTGTTTTATTTTGGTATATTTTCAGCTTTTTTTTTTTCATTGTTACCATTATTCAAAGATTTGTTTACTATTTTCAAGGGGAATTTTGCATTTTCTGATGTATAAAAGTTAAAAAGGAACTTTTTTTTCTTTACTGAGAAGCACTGTTTGACTTTGTTAATCCAAGAGTTCATATGCACCTCTTCCAACATATTAGTGTTGCTTTTTTGCAACAGTATCACTGTAGCGTTGCTATAAGTAATTAAAATATATAGGAAGTCTATGAACAAGCTTGATTTATAAAGGGGAAAACAATCCAACTAACCAACCAAGCAACCAGCCCATCACTTTTCAGTGTTTCTGTGCTTGCGAGTTTATCAGAGCTAGTAGCAGAATAACCCAAGAGTAATTATTTTGGTAATAATTCTGACAAAAAAAAAAACCAAACTTGTGGAGGGTTAACTTTCAAACCTGGAGTATCAGTGGGACTTCTTACACAATTGCATATTTATTCAGACTGAGGAAACAGCGCATGCATGGAATTACCAATATCCAGACCAGTGAGAGCCTTGGCTATGCTCAGAGAATTTATAATCTTTGAAGAAGAGCGAAAAGCTAAACAAATGTATGTTTTGAGTACTTTGGGAATAAAAACTAAAAAATAAAAATAAAAAGCCTAAATTCCTCATAGCCTTGAATGCTGACTAAGTGCATATATGACATTTCACAGAGTGAATAGACCTGAAAAGGCACTAGCTGCACAAAACCCTCTGCAACTAGCATCTGGAGAAAAAGGAGAAAGGCAAGAGAAAAGAAAGATGTGACAAGGAGCTGAAGCACCAATGAAGGTGTTAAAAGCTGGAAAATGTAATAATGAAGTTTGTGCATTTTCTCAGTTAATTTTTTCATTTGCATGCAACTATGAGCAAGCTTCACTTCAGGTGAACTCTTTCTTTTTTTAACTTTGGCTCATAGTTCACTCAGTGGACAAAATTGTCCTAGTCTGAGAATGGCTTCCTGCTCAAGCCTAGGAAGTAAAGGATACCATTATATGCAGCACTTCTGCCTTATTTCTTATAATTATTGGAAGAGAAAGGATGCCTTCCCCTCAAGGCAGCTAGGATCTGGCTTCGAAAACTAGAGTCTGTCTCTGGCTGCCATTGTTTCTGAGTGATGCTGCACAGTCCCTTACATCACATGTTTCACAGATGGTCAGTAGCGGTGTGCTTTCCATTTCTGAATGCCCACCTCAAGATTCTGAGGGCTGAGATGATGAAGCACAGAGAAGTCACAGTTACAATTTAAGTGAATGGGGGCTGTGCCTGAAGGTGCAAATCATTGCAAAACATGACAAAGCCTCATGACCTGGGTCCTGGGTAGCTCAACATTGACTGTTGCCTGTGTGCCTCTGCTGCCTCTGTAAAGTGGGATATATTATCCTGTCACTTCAGAGAGTTTTTGTTAAGATAAATTAACTTTCATGAAGCTCACAGAGCTTTGCGTGATGAACACCATAGGGAAGCCCATAAGGAAATGAATAATCCTGTCTTGAGTGGTGTGCATGGGTGGAGTCTCAGGGGCATACATTGAACAATGAAAATAACCAAAATATCAAAGGCCTGTTCATTAGTTGAGTTCCATTCTTCACATGCCCTGAATAAGGTGGGGGGAGGCTTTAGAGAAAATGCCTGCATCATGATGTATTTAAAGACAACATGATGTTGCATACGAAGGGAGGCAAGGTTAATTCTTGCTTTCCTATCTCTTGAGTACTTGATTTTCCAACTTTAACA